TAATCTGAAAACAACAGCAGAGAAAAACCAAATAAGAATAAATAAAGTATTGAGAGGTTTAATCAAACAATGTCTAGCTGTTAATAAGACTGCATTGTGACTGACATATACTCTCTAACAAAAGCACACACTATATATAGAGTTTTTGTACACTCATATGTTGACAACAATGGGAGAATCCAATATACAGGGTGCAATGAGTAAATTGTTGCTATTTTATAATTTTAATTTTGTGCATACATGTTGTTTGTTCTTGATTTTGTTGACTACAGAGAATAGTAGGGTCAGTTGGGCACTGTCTGTGAGGAAAAAGTGCACCATGACACAATTCACTCTGCCAGAAATTTGGAAACGGCATACTGTACTGCTTGGCATTTGTGCCAGAAGCTCCAATATGAACTTTTCAGAATGTTTGGGTGTCAATCTGAAGAGAGTGCAGAGAATTCAGAAAGAGTTGGATGAGTCTACCGGTGATTATGAACATGTTTGGAGTGACCACTAGTGATGGCCATGTTATGCTTCCATTCATCTTCCCACAGGGCCTCAGACTCAACACAGAGGACTATATCAAGTGCCTTGAGGGTGTAGTGTTACCCTGCGACAAGAGGGTCGCTGCTGGAAGACCCTATGTCTGGCAACAGGACTTTGCACCATGCCACATAAGCTGGAAAACCCAGTCATGGCTGTCAGATAATTTTTGCAACCACATCACCCCTTACATCTAACCACCTAACTCCCCAGACTCCAACCTCCTTGATTATTATGTGTGGGGCACAGTTGTGCAAGAGACCAACAAAACTCCTTATAACACCAACGATAAAGAATTATGGCAGCATTGATCAACGTAAACAAGGAGACTATCCAGAAGAGTTGGAGGAGATTCTGAAGGCATCTGGAGGCCATGTTTGAAGCCAATGGCGATTTTATTGAATAAATTTACTCAAGATATCTTAATAATACTAAAGTAAATAAATTTATATACATACATACATACATATATGAATGAGAGAGTTGAAGATCAAATGTATATCAGATATGGATAGGAATTCAACAAGATGATAAAATGAAATAAAGAACAATGCAGGACAATTACCATGTAGTGTTGATTCCTACATCACACTGTCTATCAACATTCTATCTATAATACTGACCACTTTTTCCCAATAACTATATATATGTGTGGGGGGGGGAAGCAAAACACCATTAGATAATTATCAGATATTGCTTTAACCAAAACTGTTGCAAAAACAACAAAGAGGATATGAATATAAAAAAATTATAGATTCTAATTTGCCAAAGAAATAAAATTAACATTGGGTTTTGATTTGTTTTCATCACATGTTTTGGATTTTAAAAAATATTCCAATGTTTAAACTCTTCTATCTGAGACATAATTTCAATTTTCTTAATCAGATATTGATTAGTTACAATCAAGTTTTATTTTTACTCCAATGGTTTGTGGATACGCTGTCAGTATACACCTTCAACGGAACACTTGTCAGATAATCATCGACAAGTCATGAATTTTGAGATATGTATATTATGTAAATCAAGCTTGATCTCTGTATCACCTCATAAATAAAATGTATCAATAAAAAGTGATTTCAGTTTGCTTTATGTAAGAGTACGGCTCTTAAAACAGGCAAAATATTTGCCTTGTCATAGCATTTTACAAGTAACTGCAAAAGTTTCAAAAATTGTATTCACTTCCTATTTAAGAACATTTCTTGATTTAAAATAAAGATTTGTTTGACATTGTCAGAAGAAAATGTTTCAAGCATTAAGACAAGAATTCAGAAAATGAGTAAAGAGACTGGAGGAGAATAATGGTTTAGGTGGAAGGGAAGAGACAATGGGCCAATTATGTGGAACCCTGCATTCAGCGGAAGTGAATTGAACAAATTAAGACAGACAAACAACATGAACACAAAATTGTCACTTGTCTATTTGAAGACAATAATGCCTTGCATTGTTCATTTAACAGTGTTCTCAATTACCAAACAGTAAAAGGGTTTTATTGGCAAATTATCTAGAGTGAGGATAACAAAGGTGGATATCATTCAAATTATTTACTCTTCTGCCAGTTCTATGTAAAAAGAAAAAAAATATATGTATTTCAAGTAATTGGCTAAAGATTTTTTTCAGATGTGCAATGGATGATATAATGTGAATCACATGTAAGTCTGTATAACCTGTTTTTTGCTTGTTTAAAGACATAATCTTTGTCTACTTATATTCAGAGATTATAGGGCACCTCAGTGTGGTGCAATGGTTAGCAAGCTTGTCTTGCTAGAACATTATGACTGAGTAGTGAGTTCGATCCTCACTGGGTGCTCCATACTTCTGGCCTTGTGCCACATCTAAGCAGTGCTTAGATAATCACTATATTCAGAGATTATAAATGAAACTGTGTGTGTGTGTGTGTGTGTGTGAAGGTGTGTGAGAGAGAGAGAGCTAGAGAATGAGAGAGAAGAGAGCTAGAGAATGAGAGAGAAGAGAGCTAGAGAATGAGAGAGAAGAGAGCAAAAGAAGAGAGAGAGAGAGAGATGAGAGCAAAAAAAGAGAGAGAGAGAGAGATGAGAGCAAAAAAGAGAGAGAGAGAGATGAGAAGAGAGAGAGAGAGATGAGAGAGAGAGAGAGAGATGAGAAAAAGAGAGAGAGAGAGATGAGAGCAAAAAAAAAAAGAGAGAGAGAGAGAGCAAAAAAAGAGAGAGAGAGAGAGCAAAAAAAAAAGAGAGAGAGAGAGAGAAAAAAGAAAAAAGAGCAAAAAAGAGAGAGAGAGATGAGAGCAAAAAGAGAGAGAAGATGAGAGCAAAAAAAGAGAGAGAGAAATGAGAGCAAAAAAAGAGAGAGAGAGATGAGAGCAAAAAAGAGAGAGAGAGATGAGAGCAAAAAAGAGAGAGAGAAATGAGAGCAAAAAAGAGAGAGAGAGAAATGAGAGCAAAAAAAGAGAGAGAGAGAAATGAGAGCAAAAAAGAGAGAGAGAGAAATGAGAGCAAAAAAGAGAGAGAGAAATGACAAAAACAAAAAGAGGGGTGAATGAAAGAAAAACAGTGAAAGAAAAACAGTGAGAGAGGAAAGAGTGAACTAAAAAAAAAAAAAAAAAAAAAACTAAAACAAAAAAAATTCCAATTCAAAATTATGTACCACCTGAAACCAATTCTGAATAAAAACCATTAAAATGTCAAAAATTTCACATTGTATCAACATATTTGGGCCAGAGGAAAATTGTAACGGAAAATGGAGAACATATTGAATAATATTTCTTGCCAGTCTTAATATTTTAAAATTAGTTTTATTCTATAAAATGTCACATGTCAGCTATCTAATTAAAAACTTTTTTTTTTTTTAAATCAAAATTTGTTAAGATTTCAGTATATTCATCTATTTCACTCCATACCAATATTTTGTTTTCTTCTGGACTCTTCCTTGAGTTAAAATCTATCAATTTTTCATCAGCTCATGAAGAATTTCTGTTTCAGGTTTCATTTCTTATCTGTTTAGGCCATTATATAATTTTAGCAAAATTCTAATATTTTTTCTTTGGTTTTCTGACATTTTTTCAAGAGGTCAATGAAGTATGCAAAAAATGAAAATGAAAAGAGAAAAACTAAAAAAAAAAAAAATGAAGATTTTCCTCTCTCTTTATTCTAAACAAAGTAAGCTCAAGACAGGGTATAAAATTCAAACTGGAATTCTTTTTATACTTGCTATATTTGTGATTGCATAAATTTCTTTTAAAATAAAATTTTCTTTTTTATATTTTTGGAAAATTAAAATATTTCCAGTAGTCAGACTAAATTTTTAGATCTACTGAGGATGCAAATAAGAATTTTGCAAGTTCAATTACTACCATTAACATTAACAACTCCTGTTAATAGGATGATCACAAACCCATCATCACAACTGATAAAAAAAAAAACATAAAAAAGGAAACTAAAATAAAACCCAAGAATTAAAAAATTGTTTTTATTTTATTTACTTATGCATGAATGAATCTGATAAACTCACAACCTACACATGGACTATTTCAGTTTTGATTAAGGTGATACCTTTAATGTGATACTAGTACAGTAAAGAATAAACTTACTTTACTTATGGTCACTCATCTACTTTTTTTTTTTTTTTTTTTTTTTTTTTTTTTGTGTTTCACCCCAAGCAAGGCAGGAAGCCACTAGGATGCAAAGGGTTACTGAAGATTTGGAGTAAGATCAGATAGGAGTGATAGAGGAAAGGATGAGGAGAAGGATAATGGATAGATCAAGGCAACTGGAGATGTCGATTGACATTACATTTGAATAGTTGGAGATTATAGCTCTCAGGGAAACTGGAATAGGGAAGGGAGTTCCACAGGTGAGAGGTGCGAGACATGAAGCTATTGGAGTAGAAGAGACGGCTACATTTAGTAGTTTTGACAGTGAAAGGGTGAGACAGGGATGCCAGCCTCATAGGGCGCTTGAATTCATGAAGTCTGGGAACCAGCGAATGCAGCTCCTCAGAGCAGTTACCATGAAAGTATTTGTAAAAAAGACAGAGAGAGGTGACGGCGTGTCTGTGAGAGCGACTGTAGAGAGGATGCCAGAACAGGGCCAATTATATTGCATATCCGCCTCTGGAGCTTATCAAGAATCCCGAGGCAAATAGAAGGGGCTCCAGACCATATATGGCAGCAATACTCCATGCAAGAGCGAATTGTTGATTTGTAGATCTGGAGGATCGATTCCGGGGAGAAAAATTTCAAATTATATCATCATAGTAAGAATAACTGAAAAGTTTTGCCAAAAAGAGTTACTTCAACACAACTCAAGTATTTTACCAACAAGCTTTAGCCAGAAAGTACATTAAAGATAAGTAAAAACAATTTGTGAAGGATGAAGCCAGTTCAGTGATGACATGACATGCCAGGGCTGAGGGCTTCCAAGACTGAAAACAATAGCCTTGACAGAAGGTTCTTCCAGTGGAATCAATGGACATGTGTGTAACCAAAGCAAGCCTTTAAGTTAGTGTACATCAGTTGTGGTTTCACAGAGAGAGGAATGAATCTATCAGGTCTACTTGACCGAGACATGTTATGCATGAATGAATAACTTTCCAGCTTTCAACTGGAGAGAATTTCTCAGCTTCCTACCAACTATGACCATACCCTATCAACAAGCTGATGAAAAATAAAGTATCTTGGTTCAATATTAATTGACTAACTAATTACTAGGTTTAAAGAATAATTAAGGCAGTACCATATCAATATTAGTAAACTCAAGTATTTATCTATAGAGCAGCAGTTCATTTTATCCACAGAGAGGTTGGGTAAAACAATGTCATTTTTATATTGATAAGTTTACATTCAAATGCAAATAGTATGAATAGAGAAATAAAAAAAAAAAAACATTTTCTATAAATATTTTCATGGTAATTGTCATGATGAACTTTTGTCTTTGGTATCTCAACTTTCTGAATTTAAGTGCCATAATAGGTTGGCAGCTAAATCCAATCATTTAACAGCTAGATCTAACCATAAGTTCTATACTAAGAGTTTCTTCTCTCACTTATTGCTTGTGGAATTCTTCAGGCTTCTTGCTTTCCAATCAATTATGATCTTCAAAAATTTAAATACAGTGCCAATTGTCATGTTTATTGTCCTTTCTCCTTAATATTTTTTCTTAGATTCTTTCATACTCAGTAACTCCTTACATCTTAGTGGCTTTATTGCCTTGTTTGGAGTGAAATGAAAAAAAAAATTGTTTTAAGATTATGTCAGCTGACAATTTTGAACTATAAAAGATATGGCAAAACCAAAACAAGGTTAAAAAAGAGGATAGGTTGAATTTTGTCTGCACAATTCTAGATTAGGCGATTTTTGCAAACACTTTTTTTTCCATATTTTTCTTGGAATCTTTTGGCATCTAATTACAGAATTTTCTTGCCAAGATGTTCAAACAGTTTTTCATTTGCCTACATTATTAGAGGAATCTCGTGTAGTGCAATGGCTAGCAGACTTGACTGTTAAAGCATTGCAAGTGTAGCAAGATCAAATCTCATTGGGTACCCTATTGTCATAGCCCTGAATAAGCTAAGATACACTTATATATATATATATATATATATATCATAGAATATGACAAAGAATATTTTGTAAGCTTTTTTTACTATAAGAACATTGTTCACATCAGAAAAAAAATGATTAAAAGTTTAAAAAAAGAAAGCACAAAATATTGTTTGCCTATTGTATCCAATGAAACATGTATAATAGGATTACAGCCTATATATATATATATATATATATATATATATATACATACACGCAGAGTCCTTGACTTACAACATAGTATTGTTCCTATGATGAGTTATAATACAATTTTCCATGAATGTCACTCACCTATGCTAATACAAGAGTAAAGTAATAATCTAATACATATCTTAACATAATTAGGACTAAAAATACATGAAAGACATAAAAGGTACAAGTGGTAGATGTGGAAACAAGATTAATGGAGACTGTTGTAGGTCAGTACTGTTGTAATGCAAGGACTTAGTGTAGGTGCTATCAGAAAGTTCAAAAGTAAGAAAGACCTAATTTTACCTTCAGACTTAGTTTATATTATCTTTGAAGTCATCACTTTTGCCCAGCAGCTCAAAAAGAGCAGTAAAATCTGTACTACAGTTCAAAATTTCCAACCTCTCTGAACAATTGGTTATTTCATCAAAATATTATAGTCATTATCATAATGATACTTACATTTATTTTGGGTTATGCAAATTTCAAATTAAAATTATTCCTCATTCTCAAAATGACTTCTATGTTATAAAGGCTGCTTTTTCCTTAACAAGAAGTTATAAAAAAAGATCAAATCTTGTAAAATCATTGTAAAATCTATAAGTGATGAGAGATTAGAAATTTAAAAAATTAAATGTGTATTTATGTCAGGTTGATTCATGATTGAAACTGTTACCATATGTAACCAAGTATTATCAACCACACAGTCGCATCATCAGTGACTAAACCAGTTGAACTTTATTGTAAAGTCAACAACCATATAGAACAGTTTGGTAGATTGAGCTCCATAGCTAATGTATGCAGTCAGTGCAGTGATGAATAGAATCAATGGCCATGTGTATGTGACCAAGTTGAGCCTTCAATTTTTTTTTTTTTTTTTAAATCAGTATCACCTCAAGCAAGGCAATACAGCCACTAAAATGCAAGGGGTGTGGAAGAATTAGGAACAGAAACATTAAAAATGAGCAGAAAGAGAAAAAAGTAATCAGGAGCACAGTAGATAGCAATTGACATTGCATTTAAATTTTTGCAGATTAAAATTGGCTGGAAAGCATGTAGCCGGAAAGGAGTTCCACAAGTGAGAAGTGCGAGAAAAGAAACTGTTAGCATAGGGTTCACAGCCAGTTCAACTATTAGCATAGAACTCATCTAGCCAGCTCAACTATAAATTGATGAGATCACGACATCAATCTAGTACTGCACTTAAATTCATACAGTCTTAGGTATCATAGTGAAGAGCTCATCCAGACAATAACCACAAAAGTTGGAGGACATCTGTGCTTTACCAGTACATGCTACACGTGAATGAATGCCTCTTGAGCTTTCAACCCAGATATGTGAAAGGAACTGGTCAAGGGCTCAATTATGCAGCAGTCCTATACCCACACTCAGTCATAGGACTGATGGTGGTGATGCTGATTAAATAAAACTTTCAGTCAACTTTACACTTCATCTACTGTCAGCTGTACAAAGTCAATATTCAAGTCCTCAAGATTATATAAGTGGGCCCTACAAATTATATTGTCTGTAATTTCAGCATAGAGCTCTGCACACAAACAACATTGCTTCTTTCCACAAAGCAGCCAACTGAAATAGCAATGTGGTCAGCTCTGATTGGCTAAATACTCATTATCATGACTGCAATGTAAATTAGCTCTTAATGCCACTGACTGAGACACTCACCAAACAAGCTATCATAGAGGGACAACTCAGTCTCAGCATTCATAGTCAGGCAGATATAAAGAGATAAACATCAGCTTTCCTGCTTATGATCATTCTTCTGCTAATTAAAACAAGCTCACCAACAAATAAAATA